CTTTATGGTCTTTTTCCTTTGCTCCACTCTGGGAGGAGGTTTCAAAATATTTCTAGCAGGACTACCAGATTCTGTAACAGGTTTTTTCCCTATGTCATCTGTTTTGTAAACTCACAAGATTAGTTTCTCTCACCATGTACATGTATACATCTGACGTAGACTGTGTTATTTCTCTGTGTCACATAATATATGTGGGTATATGGGTATGTATGTATTTATGTATGTATGTATGTATGTATGTATGTATGTATGTATGTATTTATTTAGTCATGGTTAGATAGTGTATATTGGATTCATTCATTCATTCATTCATTTTGTCGTGTGTATATTGGAGGTGTAGACCCTTTGAAAGCTGTATACAATGAAATTTCATTTTAATGTATGGCAATTAGTGTACATTCAAAGTGGCAATTAAGTTATTCCATTCCATTCCATTCCATTCCATTCCATTCCATTCCATTCCATTCCATTCTATTCTATTCTATTCTATTCTACTCTACTCAAGTCTAAGTCTAAGTCTAAGTCTAAGTCTAAGTCTAAGTCTAAGACCGGGCATGGTTTCATATGCTGGCTGCATCCTGCGGATGGGATTTCACTTGCTTGCCTGGCCCAGTTTCTGGCATGCTGTGGCCCACTGCTAATCTATGGACCTGGGGTTGGGGACCCCTGTTCTACGATGCCTCCAGAGCAGTACTTCTCAACCTTGGTAGCTTTAAGGTTTATGGACTTGCGTTCCTAGAATTTAGATTCTCAGTCTGGATTTTATGGACTTCAGTATGCTCATCTGGCAAAAAAGATTGCAATATCACTTAATAATAGCCTAAATAGCAATGGAAATCCTGGCCCCAAATAAAGGTTGCAAGTTGAGGATTTACCTGTAATTTCTTTACTAGGCTGGTCCAAAAGTGTTGTACCTTATAATTCTTGACAAATGTATCTTTTCTTTTTATGTACACTGAGAGCTTATGCACCAAAGATTCTATTCTATTCTATTCTATTCTATTCTATTCTATTCTATTCTATTCCACTCCACTCCACTCCACCCCACTCTACTCTACACTATTCTACTCCACTCTACTCTACTCTATTCTACTCTATTCTACTCTATTCTACTCCACTCTACTCTACTCTACTCTACTCTACTCTACTCTACTCTACTCTACTCTACTCTACTTTATTCTATTCTATTCTATTCTATTCTATTCTATTCTACTCTACTCTACTCTACTCTACTCTACTCTACTCTACTCCACTCCACTCCACTCCACTCCACTCCACTCCACTCCACTCCACTCCATTCCATTCCATTCCATTCCACTCCACTCCACTCCACTCCACTCCACTCTACTGTTCTCTACTCACTCTACTCTATTCTATTCTATTCTTAACTAACTCAATAGCAGTTTATAATCCTAGTGTTCCAAACAGGGGTTAAAATCACTAACGGAACTAAAGAAATAACATACATCAAATCTACAAATTCATCAGGATCACCGCAACGTATTCTGATGTTCTGCGAGCAGAAAAATCCATATTGTCATAAATCCATGTAATGTGTGGTTGTTTTTTTCTTCAGTCATACTTTCTAAAGGTTGCGGCGTCTGGCCTGAAACCGCCACCAGTCCAATCAACTGTGTTAAATGGTTTTTATTGATGGTCTCACTTAACAGAAGGCCACCCTTCTTTGCTGAACCATGACTGGCCTTAGAATATTGGAAACCAAAGTGATTGCCTCGGCAGCAGACTTTAGACCAGGTCAATGTACAAAGTGCAACAATTCCCCCATGAAATGAAGCTAATATTCCAGAAGGGTAAGCATGGGATGTGTGATGGCGCTTTTACAAGTAGTCCTCGAGTTACAGCCGCCATTGAGCCCAAAACATCTGTTGCTATGCGAAATGTTTGTTAAGTGATTTTTGCCCCCTCTTACGACCTTTCTTGCCGAAGTTGTTAAGTGAATCGCTGCGATTGTTAAGTTAGTAACATGGCTGTTGAGTGAATCTGGCTTCCCCCATTGGCTTTGCTTACCAGAAGGGAGCTAAAGGCCATCACATGACCCTGGGTCACTGCATCCGTCATAAATATGAACCAGTTGGCAAGCATCTCAATTTTGATCATGTGACCATGGGGATAATGTAATGGCCTAAGTGTGAAAAGCGGTTACAAGTCACTTTTCTCAGTGCCATGACAACTTTGAACAGTGTTGTGGCCCGTCAACAGCCTGTGCAGCTAGTAGCTGATTCTGACAGCGAGGAGGCTGGTGTGGTGCTGTGCCAGCAGCCTGTGCAGCTGGCACCCGAGTCAGACAATGAGGAGGCTGGAGAAGATGTGGTGCCAGAGGCAGGGATTCAGCCAGGGCCTTCAGAACCTCCAGAAGCTCCCATAAGTGAAGAGGAAGAAGAGAAGGAGCCTCTTCTCAATGCACGGGTGTGCAGAGCTGCCAAAAGGCAGGAGTGTCTCCTCGGGAGGAGGTCTCCTCGAGAGTAAGGCTTGGAGCTAATTGGCCATTCCCTTAGCCTATTTAAGGAAGGATGACGCCTGAGGCAATTTGCAGGGAATAACTTAGTTCATTCTCCTTCGCATCTGGATCTTACTTCTTTTTATCAGTGTCCTGCAAATTGCTTCTGGGCTTTCTGCCAATCCTAGTAAGATTACCATTATTTATTCTTTGGATTCTTGTAGGCTGTTAAGAAAGTTAATTAACAGCCTTTGTTTGAAAAAGACTAATTTAATTTAGTAAACTAAGGTTTATACAGACTTTGTGTGTGCTGCGTTCTTTGGGGTCCGTAGCTGGGGCAGAACAAACAGTCACTAAATGTTGTAAGCCGAGGACAACTTGTAAATAAAATAATTTAGTGTATGGTCCTGTGTATTTCTTGGACAGCAAAGGTGACTAACAAGCAGGTACTTGAATGCATGAGAGCAGATGTGTCACTGGCAGACAAAAATCACAAAAATGTGTCTCAATTATCTTGGCTGTATCATGTGGGGGAATTCCCTGGATAAAGCAATTATGCTTGGAAGTATTAGCAGTAAAAGGAAACCAGGCTGTCAATGAACATGGTGGCTGGACACCATCAAAGCTGACACAGCGTAGAACACCTGGAAGAAATAATGCAAGATTGGAAGAAGTGGAGAGACCTGGCCTGTAGAACAGCCAAATCGGGCACAACTGAATGGATATATATCATCATCGTCAATCATGCAATCACAGATATACAACATTTAGACTTAGCGACTTCGAATAACTTTATTGTCACTTTGAACGTACACTAATTGGCATACATTAAAATGAAATTTTGTTGCCTATGGCTCTCAAAAAGTCTACACCTCCAATATACATACGACAAAATGAATGAATGAATAAATGAATAAATAGATCAACAGATAAGACTTTTAGAGTTAGAATAACTTTATTGACACTTTGCATGTACACTAATTGGCATACATTAAAATGAAATTTCATTGCATATTTCTCTCAAAGGGTCTACACCTCCAATATACACAGGACAAAATGAATGAATGAATAAATAAATAAATGAATAGATCAACAGATAAGACTTTTAGAGTTAGAATAACTGTATTGACACTTTGAACGTACACTAATTGGCATACATTAAAATGAAATTTTGTTGCCTACGGCTCTCAAAGAGTCTACACCTCCAATATACATACGACAAAATGAATGAATGAATAAATGAATAAATAGATCAACAGATAAGACTTTTAGTTAGAATAACTTTTTTGTCACTTTGCATGTACACTAATTGGCATACATTAAAATGAAATTTCGTTGCATACGGCTCACAAAGGGTCTACACCTCCAATATATACATGACAAAATGAATGAATGAATGAATAAATGAATAAATAGATAGATGAACAGATAAGACTTTTAGAGTTAGAATAACTTTATTGTCACTTTGCAAGTACCCTAACCGGTATACATTAACATGAAATTTCCTTGCATACGGCTCTCAAAGGGTCTACACCTCCAATATACACATGATAAAATGAATGAATGAATGGAAAAATAGATCAACAGATAAGACTTAGAGTTAGAATAACTTTATTGTCACTTTGCATGTACACTAATTGGCATACATTAAAATGAAATTTCGTTGCCTACAGCTCTCAAAGGGTCTACCCCTCCAATATACACAGGACAAAATGAATGAATGAATGAATGAATAAATAGATAGATCAACAGATAAGACTTTTAGAGTTAGAATAACTTTATTGTCACTTTGCATGTACACTAATTGGCATACATTAAAATGAAATTTCGGTGCATGCAACTCTGGGAGGATCTCCACCTCTAATATAGACTACATACACATGACAAAATAAATAAGTAGCAAATTATGCATGTACCCTCACATACATTATATGACTCAATATGGTTGTTTCAATGCGATGGAGCAAAAATAGATGAAACCTTGCAGGTGAACCCCTCGCTGGCTTTCATACCTCCACCTCTTGCTCTCCCTTGAAGGCAGAACTTGCAAGATCTGGCTGGAAAAAAATTGGCCTGAGCGGTGGTCGGCGCAGCCACTCCCCGTCCCAGGACATCCTCACCACTCGCAACCCAGAAGCTATTCATGTGTGTGTGTGTGTGTGTGTGTGTGTGTTGTGTGTGAAGGAACGACACCAGGCCGGCTAAAGCCGTTATTCGAGGGGTAGAGGAGCTACTCCGTTAAAGACCCTGGGGAGCAGGGAGGGAAATAAAGTTGGGTCATCTCCTGCACTTGTGCCGCGCGCTCTTCCTCCCCCTTCCTCCTCCTCCTCGCTTCTTTCCCCCCCCCCAACCTCCCAATTTCCACCGAGTCTTGGAAGACGCGAGGTGGTTTGCAAACTGCACCGTCCTCATCGGAGCCGCGCACTTTTCCTTTGCAAAGCCGCTGCCGCCGTTGCTGCAAAGGCTGCGAGGCAGGATCAGCTGCTTGGGGGTGGGGTGGGGGGGCGGCGGTGACGTCACAGGGCTCCAGCCAGCACAACGTTCCATTGAGGCGAGCGCGTGCTCCGGCGAGCACATGGGAAACAAGCAGCCAGCCGAGCCTTCCTCGCTCGCTTGCAAAGAACCGCGGCCTGGTTCTTTGGCGGCCCTTTTTTTTTTTTTAAATCCTCCCGTGGGGGTTTTATATTATTTTCATTTTTCAATTTTCAATCTTCTTCTTCAACGCCGGGGACGCTTCTCGATTTTTTTTTTTTTAAAAAAAATTTTTTTGGAAAGGGGGAAAAAAAGAAGAAGAAAAAAAAAAAGCCCCGATCGAGACGGCGAAGAACTTTGCAAGGCTTTTCTCTCCCCCCCCCCCAATTGGTTTTTTTTTTTCCTTTGGAGGTGGGGGAAGGAAGGAGAACTTGGTCTGGCTTGGGGAAGGAAGGATGCGTGCGTGGTAAGTCAGCGAGGTCGGAGTGGGGAGGGGGAAGGGGTAGATGAAGAGTGGGGGTGGGGGGAGGGATGCGTGGAGTGGGGTGGGGGTGGGTGGCGATCGTGGCTTTCCGATTTGCCTCCCCCCCCCTCGCCTTTGTTTTCAGCGCGTTTCCTGAACGAAGTCGGGCCTCGGGAGTTGGCTCGGAAGTTTACAGGTGCCCTTCCAAAAAAAAAATAAAAATCGCCCATTCGCCTCGCGTGGGGGGGGGGGTTGGGGGGGGGGGGGAGGGGAGGAGTGGACGGAGGAGATCCTCTGTGGCGAGCGATCCCGCCGATCGAGGGGTGGACGGTGGGTCTCGGGCATAGGCAACCCAATCGGCCTGCCGAGTTTTTTCCAAGAGAAAGAGGATTCCTTCCCCTCTTTCCACCCTCCAGCACCCCCTCTCCCCAGCATCAGATCGGCGTTGACCCCCCTTTTTTTAAGAGGGTCCCAGAGATCTGCAAAAATCCCCCTTCCTCTTGCAATCGGGGGGGGGAGGGGGGGGGGGGGGAAGGAAAGGCGGCCGTCGGATCTCCTGGCTGATTCCACCTCCCCTTCCCCCCAAATCCCCCCCCCTCCCACTTACCCCCCAAAACTGGCTGATTTTCCCCGTCTCCCCAAAATCGAGCGATCTCCCCCTCCTCCCCAAAACCTCCCCCCCTCCTTCGTTCGCGCCTTGGCATGGATTTTACTTGGGGCTCCTCTCGTCCTCGCCGTCTGGGAAAGCGAGGTTCGCCTCGAATCCCGGGCTCGGGTTCGCGCAGGGTTTCGCCTCCGCCGCTGCTGCTTGGTCCAAAGGGCAGCTTGGAGATGAGCCGCGGATCCGGGATCGTGGCTTGGATCGTGGCTTGGCGTTGTCTGCTGTGAGGTGGCCGCTTTCCCCTCCCCCACTCGACGTCTCCCCCCCACTATAGTCCTGTTAACCCTAGTTGGGGTCTCTCTCTTATGGGGGTATCCGACCATCCCCCCAAAAATCAAGAAAAGGTGCTTTTCTTCCACCTGGATCCCTGTAAGGTGATCCACCTCGCTTACTCCCTCTTGCAACTATTATATTTATATCACCCCCCCCCCAAAAAGTCCACATAACCTCCCACTGCCCCTTTTTAAAGCCCTGCTCCATTTCCCTGCAGAAGAAACCCATTTGGATTACTTACTTACTTAGGAAAACGTGCAAGGTTTAATAGTAGCCCCATCCTGAAGAGCCACAAGCAGGCCCAAGTGGGCAGAAATGTTTGTGCAAGAAGTGCGAGTGTAGTAGGGGAATCATTTGTCCTTTGGTTGCAAAGGGTAGTAAATGCACGCAAGGAGTAGTAAGTGCGTGGAAAAAGGAGAACGGGCATCATTAAAATCAAAATAAAATTGCCTCCTGAGTATTATGACACCAGGCTCAAATTTTGACAAGTTGAGACATGTTTTGCCTGGGCCCTTATTTCTGGACTTGCCCTGTGTCATTCTGAAACTCTTGTGGCACCAACATTTCCTTTTATTGTGTTTCAGAAACATCTCCAGTCTTTAAATGTGCATCTTCATGGAGAGGATTATTTGGTGGGAAACAATTTATTTTATGGTGCAGTTGATAACTGTACCACTTACTTAGGAGCAGTTCTCCCCCCTCACCCCACATAAATATAAAATAAATATGATACGGTTTCTTACTGAATATTGTTCATAAGAACGGCGTATAAATACTATAGTTAATTCCTGTTTAAGTGTCTATAAACCCAGTTGCATTACCAAAAGTTATTTCAATGCAGTGATATATATATTTTTGTTATAAGTCATTAATGTTAATTGTGCTGAGTTTTTGGTCCTTGTTTTTAACAGGTCCGCAATGGAGGTTAAAATTTTCCACCGTCTTTATTTGTGGAGTTCTTCAAATAGCTTATTTCATGCAGAGTTGCAGGGTTTGCATTTTGATAGGAGAGTTGCTTATACATTCATAATCTGTAATATTGCCCTGTGGGGGGTATATGTGATTTCTGAAGCAATATTTTAAAAGTATTCATAGCTTGCACTAAAATAAATGATCGTACGCCAGGAGATGACTTATTCATTGATAGTCCTAATGTAAAATGGAAGATTATTTCTTTTTTCAAACTGTAGCCTGTAACCAAAAGTGGCAAGGGACATGGTGGCTATTTCTGCCTGCAATATTTCACAAAATGTAGTCTTCCTGTTCTGTTTGTTATTTTATTTAATTGTCTAACTAGGACTTCTTTTCCTGGATCTCAGAATACTGCACTGCTTTCATTTACAGCCTCCTCTTGAATTATATATATATTTTTAAGGCTGGCCTTCTTCAAGGTGATGCTTTTAGAAGTGTTAAAGAGTTTCCAAAATTCCTAGTTCTTTTGGTTGAAGGGATTCTGGGAATCGTAGTTCCAATTTATCTGTATCGGATCAGATTGGAGAAACTGACCCAAAACCTCTCCATAAAATAGAAGTTTGAAGCTAGGCCTGTTTGCATCTCTCGGTGAAGGCTGATTTGTAGAAGAGACCCTTTCTTAACCAACTTTCTTTTTATTGGAAAAAGCAGTTTTCCCTATTATGGTGCATACGTTCCTTTTTGTCCCAGAGTTCTTTAATGGGCAAAGATGCAAGTTATTTGTGTAGGAAAAAAAAGGGACTCGTTTGGAGAGGGCTTCCTCTTCCTTTGCACATTCTCACTTAAAAAGAAATTGTATCCTTTTAATGCAAAGCAGGATGTCCATATGTCAGAAAGATTTTCATGCTTGTGTAAATATGGAAATGGATCAAGCTCAGGGCTTGCTTTTTTGAGATTTAATCTAGCACCCCTGCGTTTGCTAGTTTGCATCTGCTTAAGGCTTTTCTCTCTAATGTTGTTAAAGATTTGAAAGGCAGATCTCTGTTTGACCTCCCTTCCTCTCACAGCAGTGGAGAAGCTCAGAAATGGATTATATATTTATTTACCACTCGAGCAGTATTTATAGACTGCTCCAAAGACTCTGCATGGTGTACCTCACCAAATCTATATATGGGGATATTTGCATGTTTGTAGGAACAATTACAATTATTTAAGGAGCAGGAACAATCAGAGTAGCAAATACAGTGGTCCTTGACGTACAGTAGTTCATTTAGTGACCATTCAAAGTTGCAAGGGCACTAAAATAATGACTTAGGACCATTTTTCACGCTTATGACCATTGCAGCATCCCTATGGTCACGAGATCAAAATTTGGACATTGGGCAATCGACTCCTATTTACAACAATTGCAGTGTCCTGAGGTCATGTGATCACACTTTTGTGACCTTTTGACAAGCAAAGGCTTTCCATGGGAAAGCCAGATTCACTTAACAACCGTGTCACTGACTGAAACAACTGGCAGGGAAGGTCGTAAAATGGGGCAAAATTCACTCACTGAATGTCTCGTTTAGTGTCAAAAATTTGGGGCTCTATTTAGGTCGGTCCCTGTATGTCCTATTAATTGATGAATTCCTCAGGTCACAGCTACTTAGACTCATTTTAAGTAGTAGTTAACAGTAAAACTACTAAACAGATAATTGGCCAGATCCTAGAACAGGAGTGTCAAACTCAATTTCATTGAGGGCTGCTGCATCAGGGTTGTATTTGACCTCGGGGTGTGTGGGCGTGGCCAGGGTGGGCATGGCCAGTTTGAGTCACTTGTGTTGGGGGCGCCTGTGGTGGCCCGAGCGCTTTGCCAGCGAAAACGGGCTCCCGATCTCCGTTTTCGGCTGGGACGGCCTCCTGCAACCTTCTGCCAGCCAAAATGGAATTCAGGAGAGCTGGATGCGGCCCTCACGAGCTCCGTTTTTGCTGGCAGAGGCACCGCGGGCCGGTCCTTCACTGTTTCAAGGGTGGCCCCATGGGCCAGATCTAAACACCCTATGGGCCAGATCCAGCCCACAGGCCTCGAGTCTGACACCTCTTTCCTAGAACATCCTTACTTCATTTTGTACGAAGTTCCGCCAACATTTTGCTTGGTATCGCCTGAACTTTGTACTATGTGTGCGGGGAAGATGAGGGAGCCATGTTGTATATTTTTTAATAGTTGTGTTAGTTACGAACTACAGGCAGTCCTCGACTTATGACCAGAATCGGGGACGAAAAACTCCATTGCTAAGTAAGGCAGTTGTTAAGAGACCTGTATGATTTTTCTTTTTTGCAATGGTTGAGTGAATCACAATAATGAGCGGATTATTGCAGTAATTGTTAAGTGAATCACAGGGTTGTTAAGCGAACCTGGTTTCCCACGTTGACTGTTGGAAGTTGGCTGGGAAGGTCGCAAATGGCCATCACATGTCTCGGAGAGTTGCTGCAGCCTTCCTAAAAGGCACGTCTGCTGCCAAGTTCCTGAATTTTAATCACATGACCTGCAACGGTTGTAAGTGTGAGGATCGGTTGTAAGTCATTTTTTCAATGCCATTTGCAAGGCCGAACGCTTGACTGTTTCTTGAGTGTTGATGGTCCATTGTTAGGGATTAGTGACATGGCATCTTAATCTTCCCTCCTTGGTTGTGATTGATGGCTGGCGATGTTCGCATTGAAGGGGACTCTGGTATTTACTTGGTATTTACTTGCAAAATTTCATTAGCCAACTAGGTAGAGCATCAGTATTATTGCTTATATATTGAATTGCTTGTGAGATTTATCTCCTACCATACGTCCGGGAGTTTATGGTGGTGTAACATGGTGCTCTTCTTTTCTTCTCTTTGAGCAGGGGGCTGGACTAGAAGACCTCCAAGGTCCCTTCCAGATCTTTTCTGATTCTTGATTCTCTTTTTCTACAACAATCACCACCACCACCATATAACTAGGTCAAGATGGAATGAAGAAAGACATCAGGCCAGAATGATCCAGGGATCATTTCATAACTAGAGATGGACCAGAATCTTCCCACTCCCAGACAGGGTGGATAAAAATCAATGATTTTTAAAAAAAAAATCAAAAAAATCAGATTTTTTTGATTTAAATCAGATTTTTTTGATTTTTATCGAATTTA